AAAAAAAAAAAAAAAAAAGCCATTCTTTTCATGGTAAAAGCATCTTTATCTACTATTTTCCTTCGCCTGCCTATTCTATTACCCACTATTGGGATAGTGCTCCAATTTTAGATTGTACAAAGCACAAGAATGTGTGGAACATATCCACCAGTACCAGATCTTTGCAACAACCTCCCTAAGACATCCTTTGGTTCTGATGCATTAACCACTTATATCCACTTCTAAGCATTCCTGGGTTTTAGGGGTTTCGCTCATGAGAAAGACAAAGCCACCGCACCCTACCCACCAGAACTCTCCTCTCCTAGAGCCTGCTTCTCCTGACAGTGTAAGTTACTGAAAACTGACATGCCTCAAGGCCACTACACTAATTATTGACTAATGTCAATAATACAGATCTTGGGGCTGGGAAGGTGGCTCAGTGGTAGAGTGCTTACCTTGCATGCATGAGGCCCTGGGTTCGATTCCACAGCAACACATAAGCAGAAAAAGAAGTAGCACTGTGGCTCAAGTGGTAGAGCGCTAGCTTTGCGCTGAAGAGCTGAGGGACAGTGCCCAAGCCCAGAGTTCAGGCCCACAACCAACAAAAATAAATAAGTAAAATAAAGATCTTTTCTATGTTAAAAATCAACTACATGATTTATGGGGGAGGAGGGACAGGAGGAAAAAAAATAGGAGAAAATGAAGGAAGAGGTGACACTGTTAAAAAAGAAATGTACTCATTACCTGACTTACATAACTGAAACCCCTCTGTATATTACCTTTACAATAAATTTTTTTAAAAAAGATCTTTTTCCTTGAAAGAAGCTAAATTCGGGCTGGGAAGGTGGCTCAGTGGTAGAGTGCTTGCCTTGTATGCATAAGGCCCTGGGTTCGATTCCTCAGCACCACATAAGCAGAAAAAGCTGGAAGTGACATTATGGCTCAAGTGGTAGAGCGCTAGCCTTGAGCTGAAGAGCTGAGGGACAGCGCCCAGGCCCAGAGTTCAGGAGTTCAGGCCCCATGACTGACCCCCCCCCAAAAAAGAAGCTAAATTCTTCCATAGTCCAAATGTCAGAGAGACAGATGGCAAGTCCTTTTTCTTACCCAAGAAAGAAATTTGGGAAGGACAAACAGAAGACTCTAATAGATTGTTTAAATGAGAGACAGATTGTATTAAAGCAAAATTGATCATAAAATGATCAACTAAAGACAACTAAGGACAGGTATCTTGTCCAAGAAACCAAATGTCTCTAAGCTCCCAGTCTTAGGCACTTTTATGCACAAGGTTATTGTAATGATTATGGAAAGGACATGTAGATGATTGTGGTGACTGCTAGGAAATGGAATGGCTTACTTATTGCTAAGGTGTTCTCAGAGCAAGATGGTGGTTTCTAAGTAAAGGACCCTGGCTGGCCTCTGAGGTGGGAAAGCCTCTGTGGGGTCGGTGCTGGGAGACCCTGGCCCTTGTGCCAGGGGGCCTCATCACCCCAAGACAGCAGTGTGGTCTTGGTCAGGACAGGAACCCATGCCGGCCTCCCCAGAGCTCCACCTCACCCGGCCCCCAATGCATGTAATGTCCAAGGTAGGTTCATCAACAATACTGTGGTGTTGGACACCAGCAATGGGAGTTGGGGAAGAGGAACGACTGTAAAACCCAAGGTCAGGGAATCCAGGAATGTGCGGTAGGTGCTGAGAGTTAGGGATCAGAGACACAGGAGCCCCAATCTGGCCTGGGACAGAAAAAGAACACAGGCTACAGAGGCTTCAGCTCTAAGGTGTAAGGAGCACTCTGGACACAAAGCTGGCCTTAACTGTTTTATGTATGTAGCATCGCTGCTAGCAGCAGCATCCTGTGTAGTCATGTGCTGCCCAAGCCAGACTCCTGAGACAGATGTGAGAAACAAGATGGTAACCAGTTACACAAAAGGAAGGCTGTAAGATCCCGAAAATCACCTGTCAGAGGGAAGGAGGATCCAAGTCTGCCCACACAGAGAAGCAGAACAGCAAAGCCAAGATCAGAGCCTGGGCCGGGGCTGCTGCACCTGTGAGTCCCACAGGCCGATTAGTCGGTCAGCCTCCCTCCAGCCAGATAGCAAGGCCCCATGTGTTGTGGAATAGAAGGTTCGATGTGTGGCTTCCCCAGCAAACAGCATCTGAAGCTGCAAAAAAAGTCAGGATTAGGATAGGCAGGTACCAGGGACTGCTCCAGAGAAACCCAGAAAGCAGAGCCTTGTACAATCACTCACTGGAATCTACAAGTGGGGGGGACGACACCACTGGGAGGGTCATCATGTAGTCGCTCAAGTGCTGTGGGGAGGTAGGAGGAGAGTGGAGAGCCAGGGTGGGCAGAGCAGAAGGCTAAACCTGCACTGTGGCCAGACATCAATAATATCAGTATTGAGACAACAAGACGTCTGAAGACCAAACACTTAAACATTTCCACACTGAGGAGTGGCTCTTGATTGAGTGTGGTATTAATATACTCATATGCTCTTGACAGTGTTCTTATCTTTTAGAGATTCATACTGGAGTATCTGCATGGGTGGCACGTTCAGTAGCAATCAGGAAGAAACCAGGAAGAAACCTGCCTTCTGAGGGCAGGGCACAGCAGCTCCCTCCTGCTGCTTTAGATGAGTCCACATTAAACGCTCTTGGGCCGTACAAGGCAAAAATGAAGCTCCCAGCTTTATTTTCACTTACTAATTAAGTTTCTCAGTCTTGGGGCTTGAACTCTGGGCCTGGGTGCTGTCCTTGAGCTCTTCAATGGAGATCCTCAGATCCCAGCCTCCTGAGTAGCTAGGATTACAGGCGTAAGCCACCATTGCCTGGCTCTGACAACTTTTTGCCTGGCCTTAAACTGAAAGCCTTCAGATCTTCACCTCCCAAGTAACTACTACAGACAAAAGCCACCACACCCAACCACAATAAAATAAAAAAAAATCTTAAGTGGTAATATAAAGTTTTTTATTTAAAAAAAAAGTGAAAGTAAATCAGGTAGAAAAAGCCTGTTTTGTTAGCCAGCACTATCTCCGATTCTAAGCTAAGCTTATATGTAATTGGTCACAGTGGTCTATACCAACAATCCTAACTACTCAAGAAACAGATCAGCTAGCCACCGGTGACTCATGCCTATAATCCTAGCTACTCAGGAAGCTGAGATCTGAGGATCTCGTTCAAAGCCAGCCTGGGCAAGAAAGTCCATTAGACTCATCTCCAATAAACCACTCAGAAAACCGGAAGTGGTGCAGCATTGAGCTGAATAGCTGAGGGACAGCATTCAAGCCCAGAGTTCAAGCCCCATGACCAACCAAAAAAAAAAAAAAAAATCAGAATGATAGTTTGAAGCTAACCTTGGCAAAAAAAAAAAGTTCAAGAAACCACCATCTCAACCAATAAAAGCTGGACAAGATGGTGATGTATGCCTGTTATTCCAGCTATACACGAAGCACAAAACAGAAGATCAAGGTCAAGCTGGCCCAGGTATAAAGCAAGACCCTATCAAAAAACAAGTAGAGCAAGCTGAGTGTGGCTCACACCCGTGGTCCTAGCTATTCAGAAGGCAGAGGCAGAGGGGTCACGGGTCAAGGCAAGCCTGGGCAAAAAGTTCTCAAGCACGGTAGTACATGCTTCATTCCAGCTATTCGAGAGGCATAACTGGGCAGCCTGAGTAAGAGAGCAAGACCCTTTTGCTGTATTTCACAAATGCATAAGGTGGTGATGATGTGATACCAGTGGTAGAGCACCTTCCTACCAAGCCTAAGGCCCTTAATTCCAATCCACTGACACAAACAAACAAGAACTCTAACGCAAAAAAGGTATGGGGATGGTACAAGGCCAAGTTCAAACCCCAGTACCAATATGAGTAATGCATTTCTTAATTACTCTTAATTTTAAAAAGAAAATGATTCTGAGTCTGGAAGGGTCCCATAGCCTTCCAAGAGCAGGGCTGGCCACCTTACCTGGGTGCTGGGATTATCCACAGGGAGGGGCTGGGCCAGCAGGTCTATGTCAGCCCCATTACTGCCCACAGCCACATAGCTGTAAGAGCCGCAGGTGTACCGGGCACTGTGCCAGCAAGACCTCAACACGCTCTCGGGTGCAGGCAGCTGTGGATTCCCTAAACCACAGAGAGAGAACATGAGCCCAGAATTCTCACCTTCATGTCTGCAATCAAAGACACTGGCTGGGAAGATAACTGAGCCACGGTGTTCTAAGAGGCCTCCTGTCCAGCTGCTGCCTAGCACCGCACAGGATAGGCAATGCATACCACAAGCTCCTCTGCCAAGCCAACTCTTGGCTGCCGGTCTAGTATTTCTAAGATACAGACTGTTGGCCTGAAAGGATCTGGTGAGGGACAACAGCATTCATTTTAGAAAGCAACTAGAAAGTGTTCGCAAACTGCTATTGTATCCACCATGAGGTAGGTTATTCTAGAGATAGAGACAGATGTACAGAGAGGAATTTTAGCCTCTGTTCCATGAAATTTACTTCCTGTTGAGAGATCGGCCAACAGGAACTGTAGAGCATAGACGGTGATTATTACCTGTTACTTTCCGGAGGACTTGGGTTAAAGACAAAAGCACTTCTTCATCTGACAGAGTCTCCATATACTCAGACTCTAGACCAGCGATGAACCCACAGAGCACATGCACAGACCTGCACAGAGAGGGACTGTCATGATGAGCTACACAACCAACCGGCAGTTTAACAAAATGAATGCCAGGAAGCTGAAACATGTCTTGTTAGGTGGAGAGAGGAAAAGCAAGTAAATTCATTCTTTATATTCACTACACATATGTAAAAATGTACATAACTTTCGGGTATGAATGGGATTGGGAAAGATGGGGGGGAATGATGGAAGGGTTGACACTGGGCAAGTCATTGCACTCATAATCTGACTTGCTGAATTCAAACTTTTCTGTAAAACTACTTAAGATTTTTAAAACAAAAACAAAGCCACAGCCATCCAGACCTGCCATCTCTCCACAAGAACCCAATGAGCTGTCCCAAGATAAGACTGTTTTCACAAGTCTAAGATGGTATCAAATTCACGTGTAAGGGCAGAGGTGGGTAAACTGTTCCCACAGAACAAAGTCATCCCAAAAGCACAGCAAGCTCTGTGTCCTTCACCACCATGCACGTACAACTTAAAACTGTCAGTCCTGTCAGGTATTAGTGGCTCACACCTGTAATCTTAGCGATCTACACAGGAGGTTGAAATCTGAGGATAGCAGTTCAAAGCTAGCCAGTCTTAGCAAGGAAGTCCATGATCTCTTATCTTCAATTAGCCTAGAAAAAGCTGGAAGTGGTCCTGTAGCAAGCGATAGAGCTCTAGCCTCAAGCAAAAAAAACAGCTCAGGGACAGTGCTTAGGCAGAGTCCAAGCCCCAGGACCAGCAACAAAAAGAACCAGTATTACTTGAGAAGGTCCTTAATGAAGCAGTAAAAGTTCTAATTTTATTAACCTTGTGAAGAAATGAAAAGGGGCATAAAGCACTTTGCATGTGCGGCATGCACATCCTGTGTGACACTGAGCACCAGATGACCACCACACCACTTCCTTGATGAGTATCTCTGCACCTGAAAGGGTAGCTGCTGAGTCAGACCCTTCTCCGAAATAAGCAAAACAGGGCTGGGAATGTGGCTTAATGGTAGAGCGCTTGCCTAGCATGCATGAAGCCTGGGTTTGATTCCTCAGTATCACATACACAGAAAAAGCCAAAGTGGCACTGTGACTCAAGTGGTAGAGTGCTAACCTTGAGCAACAGAAGCTCAGGGGGCTGGAAGGTGACACAGTGGTAGAGTGCTAGCCTTGAGCAACAGAAGCTCAGGGGGTTGGGAAGGTGACACAGTGGTAGAGTGCTAGCCTTGAGCAACAGAAGCTCAGGGGGTTGGGAAGGTGACACAGTGGTAGAGTGCTAGCCTTGAGCAACAGAAGCTCAGGGGGCTGGAAGGTGACACAGTGGTAGAGTGCTAGCCTTGAGCAACAGAAGCTCAGGGGGTTGGGAAGGTGACACAGTGGTAGAGTGCTTGCCTTGCATACATGAGGCCCTGGGTTCGATTCCTCAGCACCACATAAGCAGAAAAAGCTGGAAGTGGTGCTATGGCTCAAGTGGTAGAGCACCAGCCTTGAGCTGAAGAGCTGAGGGCCAGTGCCCAGAGCCAGAGTTCAGACCCAAGACCAAAAAAAAAAAAAAAAGCAGCAGCAGCTCACGGACAGTGCCCAGGCCCTGAGTTCAAGCCGCAGGACTGGCCAAGGAAAGAAAGAATCAAAATGTGGTTGTCACAGTAAAACAATGAATGAAAAACAGCCTGTTCTAGTGAAACTTAAGCTCCCAAGCAAAACAAGAATGTTAGCACAGTTTTATGTGCCACCAAACAGCATTACAGCCCCCCTTACTGACAAATAATGGAACATGAATACATCTAAATGACTATATGAATTGATGTTCCACAAAGATCAAAAATCAGATAGGGGTGGCTCAGTGGTAGGGTGCTTGTCTTGCATGCATGAGGCTCTGGGTTCGATTCCTCAACACCACATAAGCGTGGTGCTGTAGCTCAAGTGGTAGAGTGTTAGCCTTGAGCTGAAGAACTGAGGGACAGTGCCCAGGCCCAGACTTCAGGCCCCACAACCAACAATAACAACAAAAAATCAGATAGGACTTCCGGGGAATGAAGAGTCCCTTGACACTGCACAGGCTCCACACCCGGCCAGCCTCTCAGAACTACCCCATCTTGAACTTGAAAAGCTATTTGAACATTAGTCCCTTCCTTCCATTTCATACCTCCGCAGATCTGGACTCATCTTTGCTCCAGGATAAAACTAAAACAAAAGGAATGCAGAAGCAGCTAAGAATCTTAGGTCTTCCACAAGCCAAATGCCAGAGACTTGCAAAAAAGATCAATCTCTACTACTCTCTCCTCTCTATTTTCATGCCAGTCCTGGGGCTTGAACTCAGTGTTTGGGTTCTGTACCTGAGTATCTTTTTTTTTTTCCCTTGTGGGACTTGAACTCAGGGCCTCTTTTTGCTCAAGGCTAGCACTCTACCACTCAAACCCCAACACCACTTCCGGTTTTTGAGTGGTTAATTGGAGATAAGAGGCTCACAGAGACTTTTCTGCCCAAGCTGACTTCAAACTGCAATCTTCAGATTTCAGCTTTCTGAATAGTTAGGATTATAGGTCTGAGCCACCAGCACCTGGCTATCCTGGGCATTTTTGTTCAAGACCAACACTACAACTTCAGTCACAGCTCCACTTCGGACTTCTTGAAGGTTAACTGGAAATAAAGAGTTTCATGGACTTTCCTGCTCAAGCTGGCTTCAAACTGCAATCCTTAGATCTTAGCTTCCTTAGGAGCTAAGAGTACAACCATGAGTCACTGGCACATGGCTTTCATCAAAGTTGAGATAATGTGGTTATTTTTTTCATTTATGAAATGTTATTTATGCTTAGCATGGAAAAGGTTTATTGTTGTTGTCTTAAATAGGAAATAAATTTGTTTCAATTTCTCATAAGGTAAATACGTAAACATAATCCACATAAACAAAAACTCTTTAAGATTCTAATCATTGGGCTGGGAATGTAGCTCAGCGGTACAGTGCTTGCCTGGTATGCATGAAGCCCTGGGTTTGACTCCTTAGTACCACATAAACAGAAAAAGCCGGTAGGGCGCTATTGCTCAAGTAGTAGAGTGCTAGCCTTGAGCAAAACCAGCTCAGGGAGAGTGCCCAACCCCTGAGTTCAAGCCCCAGGACTGGCGAAAAAAAAAAAAAAATCATTTTAAATCATTTTAAAAAGAGACCCTGAACTACAAGTATGGGTCACAGACCCAGCTGTGGACAAGGGACCCTGAACTGTGTGAGTCACTCACCCAGCCCTGGACAACAGACCCTGAACCACCAGTCTGAGTCACTGGCCCAGCTAGGGACAGCCTCTCGATAAGTTACACATCCTCAGGAACAAGGCCCAGGCTACTGATCCAGCTTAGTAGTCACTCTTCCCACTGTCCACAGGCAACCTCAGCCTGTTTCCAAAGTCCTGAAAGTTAGGGGACAGGTGGGATCCTTTCCTCCAGGTGTATGAGTGCTCTCCTGTCCACACAGATTCCTAGTCCTTTATCTTTTTGCTGGTCCTGGACCTGGCACTGCCCCTGAGCTTTTGTTGTCATGGCTGGTGCTCTATCACTTGAGCCACAGCACTACTTCCAGCTTTTTCTGTATGTGGTACTGAGGAACGGAACCCAGGGCTTCATGCGTGCTAGGCAAGCACTCTAGTGCTAAGTCACATCCCCAGCCCTGGCTCCTCTTTTAGTATGCCCCAGGTGTGCCCAGATTCTTACAAATGCCAGTATGTACTTTCTCCTGGGTTGCACATCCCTTCAAGTTCGCCACATATTCTGGGCCTGTGACATGCTGGCAACTTGACCACAGCAGGGTGGCAGGGTGTCTGTTGCCAGTACCTCGGGGACTCATGGACCCTCAGACATGCCTGGGCACAGAGTGACACACTCTAGATGCCAGCCAACTGCAATTAGTGAGCTGGCCAGAGGCTTCTTCAGAGACCCTGGACACATACGTACTCAAAGGCAGGCAGGACCACAAAGCCAATGAGCTTCTTGAACCAGGAATCCTGCAGCGTGGGGGTCAAGTCCTCCAGGGGTGATGTGTCCTCCCACACCACTTGGATGAACTGGCAGTCTGGTTCCCAAAAGGGTTCCTTGAACTCCAGGAAAATTTTGTTATTGGTTCCAAAACCTATTTTCCTGATAGCTTCTACCTTTTCGGTAGGCAGTGGTGGCTCAAAGAAGATATCTTGATGTGCTTTGAGAAAACCTGGAAAGCAAAATAAGACATAGGTTTATACCAGATAGGTAGTGAGTGAGTGTGTGTGTGTTACTACTCAGGACCTAGTGTCATGCCTCCAGCCCTAGATAGGTTTAAAACTAGACTCACACCAAGAGAAGCCCACCCTGATTTCACTCAGAAAATCAGAGAGAAACGTGAAAACACTTAACATGCCAGAAACTCATTCAAGACTCTGGGGATGAACCTAGTTGCTGGGACTATAGTGACCAAAACCACTGTGGAGGAAAACAAGACCAGTGGCCACTGCTGGTAACTCAGGAACAGCGAGTCCCTGTAGACACAGCGCTGTGGGGACAGACCACTCCTGACCTTCACACTGCCCAAACTTCATCCAGAAGCTACTTTCTTTCTATGTGTTCCTGAGGAAGTATCCTGGGACCTGGTACATGCAAATATACCTCTACCACTGAGCTACCCTCTCAGCCCACCAAGACCTACATAAAAGTCTCCATGGGAGCTGGGCACTGGTGGCTCACGCCTGTAATCCTAGCTACTCAGGAAGCTGAGATCTGAGGACTGCGGTTCAAAGCCAGCCCAGGCAGGAAAGTCCATGAGACTCTTTTTTGGTCCGGTCGTGGGGCCTGAACTCTGGGCCTGGGCGCTGTCCCTCAGCTCTTCAGCTCAAGACTTGCGCTCTACCACTTCAGCCACAGCACCACTTCCGGCTTTTTTCTTATGTGGTGCTGAGGAATCGAACCCAGGCGCTCTACCATTGAGCCACCTTCCCAGCCCCCCATGAGACTCTTATTGCCAATAAACCACTAGAAAACCAGAAGTGGTGCTGTGGCTCAAGCAGTAGAGCACTCGCCTTGAGCTGAAGAGCACAAGGACAGGGCCCAATCCCAGAGTTCAAGCCCCACACCGAGAAAAAAAAAGTCTCCATGGGTCAGAATCATGCCTGCAATCCTAAACTGCTTTGGAGACTAAACCAGGAGAAGCATGGTTTGGCTTGAGGCTAGCCTGGACAGAAAGTTCACAAGTCTCACATCAACTAAAAAAAAAGGCCTTGCTTTTTTCATGAATAATTGGCAGATATTTACCGAAAACTTACTGTATTTCCAGCTCCAGAAAGAACCAATACAGATGCAACCCTTGCTCCAAAAAGTTCCCCATTTTAAAATAGTAGGTTAAGCAATGGTTGTAAATCACCACGGGCCTTTATTTATTACATCTTTCAAGGTAAGCACAAATTCTGTATCTACAAGGGCAAATTATGCATATAACTCTTTGAATTCTGAAGAGGGGTATTTTGGAATTTGCATGTTGACAAGGCTTTTACTTTGCTTTCTCTGGTTGCCTTCTGTTTAAGACTCTGTCAACTTATTGTTTTCTCCAACATACCCTCTACTTTTTCCAACGAGTTGACTTTTTTTGTGACAGTGGCAGTTCTATGTTCCTCATAATAGTTAATGTTGATTGTCAACTTGACTGAATTGATAGCAAGATTAGCTAAGCAGACTTCTGGGGGTGACTATGACAGTATATTGAACGTCAATCAGATCTTGGGGCTCTGACCTAAAGCATTAATTAATTAACCCGTTCAATTATCCCTCGGTAGTTGAATGTACTGACAGATTCACATTTTGACTCTACTGAGCGGTGGTGATGGAGGATGTGGGTCCATGGGGGGGTGTCCTTGGGGGGGACCCAGGTCACTGGCGGAGTGTCCTGTGGGGAGGGATTTCTACCATCTCCTGTCAGTAGCCAAACAAGGGGCACGGAGCGTGCATCAGTGTCAGAGAGCTCTCCTAGTGTGCAACAAATACATAAAAATGCCAAACAACTTCTACTCAAGGACTTACAAAGCACCAGAACTGAATGAGGTAGAATTACACATCTGGCTCCTCCCACAGACCACCATAAGACCTACCTGGACACCAGGTTCTTCCTGCCCTCCATGTCCCTCTAACAGCCAACCACATTAAGCCCTTTCCAATTTCCTTCAACAGCAAAGCAAATGCTTACTTGAATCTTCTCTCACTGTGAACTATTATTTCCAAAGCATGCAATTGCTACAAAACATATGAATGGTTCCATATATCTGAAAATCATTAGAATGAAGACATGAGCTCAGCAGACTAGAGCCAATGGAGGCTAGGTAAAGAGAGCCCGAGGCCAGCGACAGCTAGGATGGAGCTGTGGACTGGAACCCTAATCAGAAGGCGTGGACTCTACCTAGAGGCACGGTGACGATGACGTGGTGGGCCGGGAAGCAGGCGCCATCTTCGCACTCCACCAACACTGGGAAGGTCTCCCCAGGAAACGCGGCCTCCTGAAATGATCCGTTCCAGTGTATGGTCTTCACCGGCTTATTAAAGACCACTGTGTCCTTGGGCAGGGAGGCCATTATGCGGTCCGTGAGTCCCTGATAGCCGCTAGAAGAGATAGATGTCGAGGTTAGAGAACTAGGGCCTGAAAGCGAAGACAGGTCCCACCCACACCAAAGGGAGCATAACTCCCACCAGGAAGAGCAGGTGTGGAACAGGCTTAGAAAGGCAAGTAACCTATGGTTTTCCTCCTAAACCACAGGAATGCTAATACCCACCTTTACCAGGCTGATGGGGAAATTAAGCTAATGAACACAACCTACAAAGGTAAACCAGAGAGAACCAGAGCTCCCTCATTACCCAAGCCAGAGTCTGGGTTCATACAATGCCTAAACTTCAAAAGACAGACAGACAGACAGACAGGAGTCTAGGAACAGGTCGGCAGAGGGCCTTGCTGTGTCTGGCAGGGGCAGCCACCAGACCCCAGGAGACACACTTCAGGACATCTTTCCTCACAATCATTCTCTTGGAAATAACTTTTTGTCTTAAAATGAGCAAAGTCAGGGAAAAGTAAACTGATTTCTCTAAACAAAGTGGACATAGCCCTTGTCCCTTCACGACCACCCCCCACCCCCACCCCCAAAGCCCCAGCCCTTCAGCCTTAGGTATATGGAGGACCCTGCAGGCAGGGGTGCCTTAGTCCTGTACCGAGAGAAGGTGCAGTCCAACCCTGGCAGCGCGATGTACTCCCCAAAGGGGGCCAGGGCCACCAGGTCCATACTGTGGGTGCCGCTCACGCAACACTCCACATTGAAGAAGGAATTCAGGATGGCTAACTTGAGCTTCTTGGTCTCCGCATCCCCCGTCCAGCTGGCCATCTGCTGGCTGATCTCCTTCTTGAGGAACTCGCCGACGCTGGGCACTGGAGTCTCAGTGGCATGCAGGAATTCTCGGGTCTGGTCTATCAGCCCATAGAACAGACTGGCCAGCTCGGCCACCAGCTCCATGCTCACCCTCCTGCCGGAGCTGGTGCAGATCTCGGAGGGCAGGCCCACGTGGCCCCCCGTCTCCACCAGCTGGTTCTCCTCCGACAGCTCCTTCTCCCCCAGGAGCCCGAACTCGGCAGCCAGCTGGAAGACAGGGTTGCCCCGGGAGGGCCCGTGGATCCAGTGCGCGCCCAGCTCCACCACGCCACCTGGAGGGCACAGAGTCGCCACTGGGGGACCCCTGGCACGAGGGAGGGTC